ACGTGAGAATTCTATCGTGTCCTACACGACCCCCCCCCCGATGCCTGAAATGGCGGGCGAATCGTACGATGGATACCGCGTTTTGGAGTGGTCGGAGCAAAAACGCCTGGAAAACCGGAACACATTCTGTGAGAAGTGTAAGAAGTGGGACCATCCACAAGAAAATTCTTGCAAGGCATAGTCTGTGGGAACTGTTCTGAAATAGGACATCCGGCTCGAGTCTGTCGAAAGAAGCGATGTACAGACTGTGGAGAAATCCACCCTGGAATTCCGTGTGCTGAGTGGAGAGCGTTCAAGACTGTGAAATATCTGGCGGGCCAGGGCATATTGAACGACGCAGTGCCGAGCCAGACTCTGGCCCAACTACAGACGAAGGCCACAGGACAAGGGAAGCAACAGTTAAACCACTAAGCCCGCTGGATGGGGATCCAGTACGCGAGCCCAAGCCCCCCCCCCCCGAAACTATGTGTGCTAGTTTGTATGGGTCCAGAAAGAAGAAGAAAAGACCAAAACCAAGATAATCAACAATGCATGACTCTAATTCAAGACGAGAACATCTACCCTGAGCACCCCTACCCTGAATATCAGCGTTCTAACAGACCGGATTCGGGGTCGAGTCCTGCCGAAGACCCGGTCGAAGTTGCATTAGGTCCGGGTCAGAGATATTGATGGTGGGAAGATCATGATTCAGAGAATTTGTATGAGATCGCGACTGTGTGTGGGGCGATCAATGATCGGCGAACGAGGATACTCCTAGACACGGATGCTTCGGTGAGTATTGTGAGTCTGGACCTAGCGCGTAGGCTCAGTCTCAAAATCCGAACGCATCGGCAGATCAAAGTGTCTGGCCTGGGAGGGATTATCTCCGCGCATGCTCGTGTCAAGATTACCCTTGGTTGGGAAGTAGTCTATATTCAAGATGTCTGGATCGGAAATATTGGTGAAGGTGTGGACGTATTGTTAGGAATGAACTTCATGTACTCGGCGGGAGTTTGATTGTGCATCCGTGAAGGATTAGTCAATCTACCGGATGAGGAGAATGTTGTTACGTGTGATGATGTTCCTAGGAAGCGGAGGGCGCTGGAATTGCTCGTCGGTGCGAAGGAAAGTTTGTATCTGCGTCCGGGCGAAGCTGCGGTAGTCAAAATTGAATATGGACAGACCAACCCGCAGCGAGAAGTAGTCTGGGCGGGACGAGGAAAATGATGGTGACGGAGATCCTGTTTGCGGTCCGGTCCTGGGCTACGGCAGTCCGAGTGGTCAACGTTTCGGACAGAAATGCCTGGATCGACACTTGGACTGCACTTGCTTGGATTGTGGAATACGGGCATTTCCCGAAGGAGCCAGGATTCGTCCGCCGAGGGAAGATTAGGTATAAGAAGGGGCAACAGCTTGTTCTCGAGAGCACCGAGTCGCGTCAGGGCCGGATGCGTGCTGAGCGCCTAGAGCAGTTAATGCGACTACGGGACCCACCCGCGGTACCGCGACCAGAGTACCAGTGACCGACCAAACTCCTCGTACGCCCAAAGTCTCAGGATGCGGAAGTTCGGATGGTACAGTTGCAGGAACGGCCAGAAGTTGTAAAGGTCTTCCTCGCTGCGCGACGTACCACCACCCCAAAACCAGAGGCAAATGTCATACGTGCGAAAGATCCGACAGATGTTCCGGTAACGACACCCGCCGAAGAGACCGGAGCAATGGACACTAGAGATGTTGGTAACCAAGTTGAATTCCCAGGCTCTTGTGGGCATGGCGCTTCGGACCGGTGTAGTTGTGTCTCTGGCCGACTCTCCAAGCCTGGAGCCCGAGACGAGGGCTCAGAACCGTCAACGACTGGGACGACTGTGGAAAGCGCAGAGGACTCAAGGCGACTCCGGAGCGCAGTGGATCTGAGAGAAGATCTAGCCACCTTTTGAAGAGCGAGGGATCCAGAATATCACCCGTCGACAGGACCGGCAGCACTTCACCTCAGAAATGAACGACGATTCATAGTTCGTTCCAGAGTTCAACTCGGAGGATGTACTAGAGGATGTCCTTGAAAGCGCATTGGATGATTTCTCAGACTCCATGGATGACGCCTCGGACCTCTCAGTCATTCCTGTCCAAAGACTGGAACGAGAATGTGTCATGCGAGTGACAGTAGAAGAGTTGGATCTGGAGCCAGCTGTATATCTGCGAGAAGGGACTGAGCTCTTGGCTCAGTTGAGCGACCATCTGACTATGTTTCCAGCGTTAGAAGAATTGAGTCCGGAATGTGACATCGACAAAGCCGACGTTAGCGTCCCAGTCGTCACGACCCCAGAGATGGAGCACAAGATGCGAAAGATCTTGAATTATCATCGTCGTATCTTTTTAGGTGATAGTAATGCCGCACCGGTCCCAGCTCGTGGAGTCGTTTGTGACTTAGATGTGGGTGATGTGATGCCGATAGCATTGCGTGCTCGACAGATCACCTCCAGATATCTGGTGAAAGTTTACAAACTGCTGAAGAAGCTCCTAGAGACAGGACTCATTGAACATCCTGAATCGGAGTGGTCATCCCCGATCGTGATCATTTTAAAGAAGAATGGAGAGGATATCAGAATGCGTGTTGATTATAGAGTTGATCAAGCTATCGCGATACCCTCTACCTTTGATTGACGACTTGCGGACTGACTTTAATGCTGCGGCATGGTTCATGAGTCTAGATATGGCGAGCGGGGTCTGGGCAATTCAGATGACAGAGCGGGCGAAGTTGATTTCGGCCTTTGTCTGTCCATTCGGACATTTCCAGTGGATCCGGATGCTTTTTGGACTCAAGAATGCACCGTTAGTGTATCAGAGTGTGATCAATAACTGTCTCTGGGGATTCGTGCGCCTCCCACCTGAGGAAGAGGCTAAGGTCGATCGAGATGTCCTGGAATTTCTGAAGTTGACCGTCCCAGACACAAGACCGACGATCGGAAATCCTCAGGCTGAAGGTGGTTTCAGACTTCCAGAATTGATGAAGGAGGCGACTGCATTCAGACGAAACATTCCGACCCCGATGCAGATGGGACCGGTTCTGGGACGAAGTTCTTACATAGACGACATAGCTCACGAGGCGCCTACATAAGACAAACTTTGTGAAGACCTGAATGGTCTGCTATTCCGACTCCGATACTGGAATATCTCGGTTAGTCTCCCGAAAAACGAGTTCGGTAAACAAGCTATACCGTATCTATCTCACGAAGTATGTGCCAAAGGCATCAGAGCTACCCCGAAGATCGCCAAGAGCGTTCAGGACCTGCCTTTCCCATCGACACTGAAGGGCGTTCAATCATTCTTAGGAAGCCTGAATGAATACAACAAGTTTATCGAGGATTTATCTGTTGTCACGGCTGTGCTTTACGAGCTGGATGAGGATCGCATTCGCGCCGGACATGATTTGGATACGGCCAAGGACGCGTTCGAGATTCTAAAACGCAAGATTACGTCGACGCCGCTGCTACACCATCCAGATTGTACCAAGCCGTTTGTCATCATCCCACATGCAAACCCATGGGCGGCTTGCGCTGTGTTGGGGCAGGAACATGAGGGGATCATCCAACCAGTGCGCTTTACAGGGCGAGTTTTGAACGAGTCCGAACTCAGATACCACATCGCAGAAAAGGAGGTGTTGGCGATCCTGCGAGTCCTAGAGCAGTTCCGTCCGCTCATCTACGGTTCAGAGATACCGACCGTAATCTATACTCGGTACTCGGTCCTGAAGGAAGTGGTTACTGAGGTCAAATTCCGCCGATGGCCGTCATCTAAAGTGGGGTCTAGAATTGTCGAAGTGGACTCTGGAACTACGCCGTGTGCAGCGCGATGAACATGGATTAGCTGCCATCCTCGGTGCAGGTATTGCCCCCAGGAAGCATCTGGACGAAATCGCTGAAAACCTGATCCCGGCTAAGGGGCGAATCAAAGCACCTCCGCCAATCGGTGTAGAGATGCTGGATTCAGACTTCGAAGGATATGTTCTGAGCTTCGATGGTGCAGCCAAGGTCTCCACTAGACAGGGAAGTTGTGGATGTATTTTGTGGCGCTTACCTGGCTGGCATGCCCTGAGCGCCTACGGATTCCCTCTGGATGATGTGACGGTGAACGATGCAGAGTATGAAGCCTTGAAAGTGAAAATTGGCTCAGAACGGTTGATCAACGTCAAACGTGACTACAACCAGGCAGCAGACTACTTAACGACGAAGACATTGGCACTCGGGAAAGCGTGGTTGGTGGAAGATGCGGATGAACTGGTGCATCCGAAATTGGTCTCTAGGATCCCGGAAAAGGTTATGAAGACTCTGGAAACCTCGGAACGAGGGGACGACGCAAGTCAGCGTCCGAAGAGCGATCATCCAAATGACCTCGTTTCAGACCCGGTTCCAAACGCGTCTGAGCCAGTAGCACCCGTGAAGATGGTTACAACCCGAAGTCGTTCCAGACAGGTTGCCCAAGTGGATGACCCGAGCCGACCACTTGACTATCGAGACGAACGTTGGAGACGTATTAAAGTCCACCAGGACGAGGATCCAGAGTTAAAAAGGCTCAAGGGTTATTTGAAAGGTGACCTGTTGAACTATACGCGGAAGGAAGTCAAGAAAATCGCGAAGGGTTCAGACTGATATGTTTTAGACTCAAGAGATGTCCTTTATCGTTTGCCTGCGCCTACCCCGGAACGTCCTGGGGACAAGCGGTCTGAACTTCGCCTAGTTGTACAAGAAGCCTTGCGACCAGACATCCTACACCACTCTCACGAGGATTTCCAGAGTGGCCATCAAGGCCTCACCAGGACATATGAACGTCTGCGTTCAGAGTTTTTCTGGACCGGGATGTTCCAAAACGTCGAAATGTTTGTCAAGGAAAGTACGGATTGTGCGTCCGCTAAGGGGCGACCGCCGGATCCAGGACCCTCCCCCGGGAATATTGAATCGACTGGTTCATTCGAAATAGCGTCCATGGATTTTGTCACCCACCTTCCGAAGTCGGAACACGGGAATACCTTCCTACCTTTGTTTCAGGGCATGTTCACGGGCTATGTTATGTGTAAACCCATGAGCATTACTACCGCACAAGACCGTGCTGATGCCTATGAAGAGGTTGTGTTCCGGAACTATGGCGCAAACTCTGAAATCCGTCATGACAGAGATCCCAGGTTCATGAGTCAGGTGTTCCGTCGCTTCAGCAAGATGATGGGTATCCAGCAGAAAGCAACGCTCGCGTATCGCGCTCAGGCTGCCAATAGCCAGCAGGAACGGTCGGGCCAGACAATTATGCACAGTATCAGAGCGTATGTTGAAGAGCACGACCAAACCGACTGGGACGACCATGCAGAGAAGCTTATGCATGCTATAAATACCTCCTTCGATGCGACTAGATTGGATACGCCGTTCTACCTACTACACGGGTTTGATTGTCGGAGCACTATAGCAGCTATGCTGGGTCCAAAACCGACGGACGTCACAGAACGTACCGCGTATGAATGGCGTCGAAAATTGCAACGAGACAACAGCTATGCCCACGCCTGCGCGGGAGAGCTCCAGAGAAGAGCCAAACGAACGCGATCCACGGTTCAGACTCAGAGTTGGAAGGTGCTGTCGGATCACCTCAAGTCTGGTTTCGAAGTAGGTGACTCTGTCTGGTTATATATCCCGCAGCTTTTGCCAGGCCTGAGTCGCAAATTGGCCCATGTTTGGCACGGACCATTCAGGATTCAGCAGGTTCGGGACGATTTCAAGGTGAAATTGAAGGTTCAGGGCACAGGCTATCATGTAGAAGTATGGGTCCACATTAGTCGTCTGAAAACACGTGCCTTGTTTCCGAAACGGCCGTCTTTAAGGATTGACGTTTCAGAGGAGGAGGATTTTGATGCGGCCCATTGTCGGAGGATAGTTGGGAACCGGATTCGGTGCATTAGGAGTATGAAGCGGAAGAAATTGTGGATTTAAGATGGGTCAAGCGCGCCCGAAATGCGAAACGTATCCGCGAATATCACATTAAGTGGAAGGGATATGACGAACTTCAGTGGTTTGCCCTTCTCACAATTGAACTACGGCTCCTTTTTATACAAGTTCAACCAGTCAGTACGTGCAAAAGCTCGTTTCGCAGCCATGGAGTCTGGGAACGACGACTACGCGGAGCTATAGGCTCCGATCCAGAAAGTTGAGTCTGGTTCCAACCATTATGTGTCTCGTTTCAGAGAAGTCGCACGGTACTAGTGTGACTGAGTGGTCGCACGCGAATACTTGGCTAAGGCAATGCGGTTCCAGAGCTCGGTATGAGTTATGTGTATAGAATAGAGATTTGTTGGGCAGTCTGCTCCGCGTTAATGTACTTTGACGAGAAAGAAGCAAGGTGAGACATCAACATTTGATTATTGAATAAGATGGAGACGCTATAATATGCATGGGCACTGAAAGCTGGGCCTGAAGTGCACTAAGTGGCCTCGGGTCTGACACTCAGTCGGAGTTGGAGTCTGCTGACGCAGCATATTGGGCGAGACGGAGCTGGTATAGTTCTTTCGTAGTCCTTGGCTTCGAAGTGGAGGGAGGTCCTGGAATTGGCAGCAGGTTTCTGGCTCGCTCGATCTTCGGGAGCAGGCGTTTGGAGACGAATGCCTCTGGTCCGTGTTCCAGACGCGCGGTTTCACTCGCAGCATCTGTCCAGAGTGTACGCGCAGGTTCTCGCTCGTCCAGCTCTAGGAGCTCTGCGCGCAAATCATCCACCTCAGACACGGTTCTGAAGTTCGCCGAGGGGTCCTTGAAGATCCAGTAGCATATAGTGTTGGGGAGAATCCACAAAAGAGGCACGTACCAGAGTGTCTTCTCCAAACCTTGGACTAGGATGAGAATGTTCCGGACCAGAGTCTCCCGACACTTGCGACGCCACAGATGGAGTTCCTTCGCTAGGTCATCCTCCATGGAAATCGTGAACCAGTGTAGTATGTACCACCAACCTTCGGCATGTTCTTCCATGGACTCCAAGTATTCTCTGATCCCACGCAAGACTCCTTTGCTCAGATCACGAACGCGGTGCAAGTAGAACCCTTTGGAACGGTCCTCAAACATTTGGACCTAGAGGAGTACAAAGTCGAGGACCTTCGATTCCCACGCGCTTGGGTCTGAACCTGAACCGTATGCACCTGCCTCAGAGGAGTTGCGCTTTGACGTGGTCCCAAGGTGCCCTTTAGTTCCAGACTTCTTCACTCGAACGACGCCCAAGAACTTATCCCATGCCTCCATAGACCAACGATCCTTGAGATACTTGGTCTCATGCTTGTGTGGCTCGTAATCTGGGAAGCCGAGAGTCTGGACCTTGGCAGAGAACTTCATCTTGATCCCGAAGATTCGGAAGGTGCTGGTAACGTCCCGGTCGCAGACCTCGATGATCAACAGCTCGTCTTCACTCAGGGACTGAAAGTCGCGAGTGGCCAAGTCTGTGGGGTAACGCGCCCCTTTGGCGCGACCGGTATTTGTCTTCACTCTCTTGATGACCTTAGTGTCTGAAGTTGTAGATGTCGCTTCGGATTTCTTGCCAGAAGTCGGTGAGGGGCGTCGCGTTTCAGAACTCGCTTGACTGGTGGTCTTAGGACCAGTATCATTAGCGTTTGTAGGCACCTCGTCCGCGCCATCATCCAGATCTTCAGTCTCGTCCTAAACCTCTAGAGCGCTGTCAGCCTCCTCCGCACCCGGTTTCAGAGAAAAGGTAGGGCCATGAATCTCGTCATCTGAGGACTCGGATAGGGCGCCGTTAATCATTTCGACCTCCGCGGTCACCTCTTTAAATTTCTGAAGTTTCCGATCGCATTTGTCTAACGAAGGCCATTTCTCCAACCCGCGACCATCCACAATTCGGATCCCGGTCCAGATTCTCTCTGCATCCAGATAGTTTGACTCAGGCACATATTTGCTCCAGGGTGTAAAATCCAAGGTTCCCCAGCCAACACTAGCTGCACCATATATCCAGGCAGAAGGTGGTGAATAGGTTCATCTCCACGCAACAGTTTCAGAGCTTCCTCGCACGTGAGACCCGTAAGCATTAGGATACGGACGTCTTGCTGAAGGTCGTCCCAGCGTAGACCATCCGGAACACGCTTCTGTGCGTCGGCATCCATCACTGAGTCCAAGTCTGTGTCAGGACCGCAAGAAAGATCATCTCGGGGGCTGTGGTCCTTAGGGCGCATCTGTCTTTCCCCCATGATATCGAACTCCAACTTGCGGGCGCTGTCCGCGCGACCAGAGTCGGGTTGCTGTGACGCTTTACGTTTGGTGCCAGAAGTTGATCGTGTTCTGGAAGACCGTGATGTTGTGCTTGAAGGTCTCGAATCTTGACGAGAAGGCGTCTTAAGAACAACATGGTATTGTCGACGCGCGCCGCAAGACGCTCTGAAGAGAAGTGAGCCAAAATTGAAGCGCTGGACGAAAGAGGAGCGGGCTTCGGTGTCCCGTTCCTGAGCCGTTGGAGCGTAATTGCGTAGCTGAAGCAGAAAATCCAACGAGTCCCGACCCAACAGACCTTCTTGGTCCGCGAGATCCTCCGGGACCAAACTCTCAAAAATGAGAGGAGCTTCTAGGCCGCCGCACCCGTCGTATACTTTCGACCCGCGTTGCAGTG